TTCTGACTAAATTAGGGTCCAAGAATCGAAGGTGAAAAGTAACCTTGGGTTGACTTCTGAGAATGAACTGAAGAGTGAAGTGAATTGGGAAAGACCGATTTTAATTTTACATATTTATTTGCAAATTTATTTAATTATTCTACTATTAATCAAATTGGCCAATTTATTCTACTTGGGCTGAAGTAAAAAATTGCCACTTGGGCCCAGTTATTATAATACACTTCATCATCGGCTATTAAAATTCGTTTGGTAGGACGAATTTTTTTAAAAAGATCGAGCTTATCTGATAAGTTTCTTTCAGTAGCTTTTTAAATAAATTTTTATTTCAGCTAACTTATGAGCTAATTTTACCAAATATTTTTTATCATATAAACTCGTTTTTCAGCTATAAGTCATAAGCTATAAACCATAAGATCGAAATTATTTGTAAGCTATAAGCTAGCTTATCAACTATCAATCAGTTATTTTTACCAAACATAACCATAAGCTATAAGTTATAAGCTCAAAAATTACATATAAGCTATAAACTAGCTTATCTATCAGCTAGTTTTACCAAACACAATAAGTTATAAGCTCAAAAATTACATATAAGTTATAAACTAGCTTATCTATCAGCTAGTTTTATCAAACATAATAGTCTTAGATATTTTTTTGATACCCAAAAACCGGGAACCGTTCTTTGACCGGAGGAACCGAACTAGAAAATTAACAAAATTTTAGTTGATAAACGAACAGATCCGGGGTTTTTTAGTTCAATTTGGTTCAACTCCATTCTCCAATTCTCGTTTTTAAAATCCCACCCTAGGTTTGTTTATTATACGACTTATTGAAAACTGTTAACGGTTATAATGTGTTTTAGATTTTTTTCCCATTACTCATCACATTCATCCGTAGCACCGCAGCTAGCTATAGTCATTACTCGATTCTGATTCTGATACAGCAACCAACTTTGGAAACCTCACCTCCCACCTTCCAAACCATCTCTCTCTCAACGGTCGAAGAAAAACACGATCCATTTGACAGATCGAAGGAGAAAAGGGGCTAGCTCATAAAACCCTCAATACTCATCAGAAAGGCAACGGGAAATCGCCGTCGGAAAAGACCTGAACTTCTTCTCCATCATTTGGCTGTGGAGAAATCCGGCTGGAAAATATGCCGTCCTCTCCCAAGTTTTTCCACGCGCGCCCACATTCCTGGAACAGCCATCGATTGACGGCCATGATACTCTGTTCGCTCATCGGGTTCTCGTGCTTCGTCTTTGGGTTCGTCGCGATTTCGCGGGCCGGGCTCGGTAAGGGGTGCAAATATGGCAAGCCTATATCGGTGACTGTGGCCTGGGATAGATCTTCGGCTGGTGGTGCGAAGGATGGCGGCGTTTTGGGTGAAGGGCACAAGCGTCAGAAGGTGATGGGATTCGTGGGTGTGCAAACAGGATTTGGATCTGCGGGGCGCCGTAGAGCTTTGCGTCAGACTTGGTTCCCCTCTGATCATCAGGGACTTCAACGGTATCCGCTGATGCAATTTATTCATCCTTGTCTTTTAGGTTTTTGGTCTGTTTGCTGAATATGATTATAACTGTTCCTTTCTTTTTAGCTGTTCACTTTAAGAATGTTTAATTAATGTGTGATTTTCATTTTTATGGTCTGTGTTTTATGGACGAAGTTATGATCAGATCAAATTAAAGTCCGTTGTCTGTTTAGCATGTAAAATAATGGTTTGTATCACTGTTGTTATACATTAATGCAATTTTTTTTTGTTTTATTTCTTACATTGGAACTAAATGGTAGGTTAGAAGAAAGCACGGGGATGGTTTTTAGGTTTGTAATTGGTAGAACCAGTGATAGATCGAAGATGGCAGCGCTTAAGAAGGAGATTGCTGAGTACGATGATTTCCTGCTGCTAGATATTGAAGAGGAGTATAGTAATCTACCATACAAAACGTTAGTTCCTACATTTTGAAAGTGAATCCTATACACATGTGCTCTATGGTTTAATCTGACTTGTGACTTTTTCACAGCTTAGCCTTCTTTAAAGCTGCTTATGCTCTGTATGAGTCTGATTTCTATGTCAAAGCTGACGATGATATCTATTTGCGACCAGGTGAGTAGTTTTAGGACATTTGCGGTGGCTTAACATTTGCACCTAGTTTGTTTACTCATGGAGTTTCCGCACACAAACCCTACATTTTTCTTCTGTTATTTGTTCGTGAGCAGATCGTCTTTCCTTGCTCCTGGCCAAAGAGCGTTCTCACTCACAGACATACCTTGGATGCATGAAAAAGGGTCCTGTGTTTACTGATCCAAAGTTAAAATGGTTAGTCCTTTATACTTCTTTTACGTATCATTGGTGTAATGTATAGCTACCAGTTTTCGTATGACTTGGACACTGATATTTTTTATAATCACGAATACATTATCGGTACTAATAATTATCTCTCATAATAATATGTACTTATACTCACCTAGTTTGTACTCACCTAGTTTGTACTGTTCCAGATGATCTAATATGGCTGCAGAAAAAATGATCAGTAAAACTTCAGATATGCTACACATAGAGTTTTAATACCTGTAGGATCAGTGGAACCGCAGAATTACAATGTACATAGTCTAACAACTATAGGATAGTGAACAGTCGATAGCATTTATTTGTTATTATTTATCATGGGGTTTCAGATAGAGCAGAGTTGTCATTAAGTTTGTGAATGTTTAGATGGTCTTCTTCTAAACCTTTCATTGGGACCAATATAAATTTCTCCTGTGAATTACGAATTTGGGAAGGCTAGGTGCACGAAAAATAACAAATGACCAGTAGTGTATAGTTTCACAGTCACTCATATAAAAGAGGCTGATTTCACTTTGCTAATTGTTACACATTTTACACTATAATTTTTTTCCATGTCCACTCCCCTCTTCCCGTGAATGGTGAATCAGTATGTAAAACTATATATTTATATGACTGAATGACATAAAGATAGAAAATTATTGTTGCTGTTAAGTAGGTGACGGATTCACTTTTATGAATGCAGGTATGAACCTTTGGCACATTTGCTCGGCAAGGAGTACTTTCTTCATGCATACGGTCCAATTTATGCTCTTTCAGCAGATGTTGTGGCAAATTTGGCTGCCTTACGAAATGACAGGCTAGTTATATTACCAATCTGTTTTCCATGAATGGCATCCCCACTTCCTTAGATATGTATCTAGTTGGCTGTGTTTTGTCATTGTTATTATTCTTCTACCTCCTTTCTCTAGCATTCATTCACACAACTGCAACTACAAAGGCTATTTTCCTTTCCAGAAAATGATCTGACTTCGAACTGAAAAGAATACCTTGCTTTGAAAGTTAAGCTAACTTCTTTACACTGATGATTATTAAATCCCAAGTAAAGTTGTTTAAATGAAGCTGGCTGTAGAAGCAATAAGTGAGTTTGCTCATCTGGAGTCGGTCTGCAGTATTCCATTGTACCGAGTTAGAATTTACTCCAGTGATGAGAATATCAACTATGCAAATGTGGGGAGACCTGCATAACTAACTTTTCTATGTACATATTGGTTAAATTTCGGGCTTCACGCAAGCCCTTAATTTTTAACCTTGTGAAGTTATTTTATAAGATAATCTTGTTAGAAAGG